CTCAGACTAAATGTGTGTTTGTGTTATATATATATATATAGCCCAGTCTAACCTGGGCCTGACCTAAACTTGAGTTGGGCTTGGATTGAGACCTCAAGTGGCCCAAACCTAACTTGAGTTCAGCCTAACCCAACCTGAACCCACCATACTTAGACATACATACATGCATTTTATTTATATAAAATATCATTTTCTAATTATGCATATTTACATTTAAAATAAAACTTTACATATTTTCAGTCAATTCTACTCTTAAATTGGCCTAATTGATCTCGGGCTTTATTTGAGTTTGTGTTTGATTAAGCTCGGATTGGGCCTGAATCGATAAACTCAAGCTTAAACTTGAGATGGGCCAAGTCTAAGCCCAAGGTTTGCACTTTAGGATTGGGCCTGGGTTGACCATCAACCCAACCCAACCCACTCGAATTGCATCCCCTAAGTTCAGCCACTTCAACATTTATTAAACAACCCTTAAAACCGGCAAGTTTGCCCTTATCAAACCAAGGTTCAAGGTCTTGATACAATACATTCGCAACAAGGTGTATTGTATCCATATACAAGGGGACTAAATGTTTATTAATTATGTCATTCAATCCATTAAATCCTACTTTTCATTCATTATATGAATATTCAACTTTGATGCCTCATTAATTGTGGTCTTTTTAGATTTTAAATTTATAAATTTGTCTATGATATGTATCTAAGAAATTGTCATCCAAGGCTTATCCCAATTAAATTGAGATTATATATTTATATAAAATATTAATGTGTATTTTAATTTACAATCAATAACAGTATATCTATTATATACAAAAAATAACAATATTATTTACAAAATGTTTAAAAATGTAAGATTAATTTGAATTTTTATAGTTAATATACAAAAGTAAGAATAATAAAATAGAACCGGATAATCCAATCCGAATCCAATCTTATTTTTGTTGGATTCGGCTAGCCCTCTGTCAAGTTTTTGAATTGGATAATCGGATCTGATTGAAAATCAGATTGGATTCGACTTATATATATATATATATATATATATATATGCATATATTTATAAATATATTTCCTTATAAAAAGACATGTGTATATTAATATATATGATGAAAATAATTGAAAAAAAAATACTTATATTTTTTATTTTTCTTATATAAACTTTTATTTTTTTCTTTTAATAATTTATTAAAATTTTCATAGTTCGAGTCGGATCGGACCAGATTCATATTCGAATCACCATTTATGAGATCCAATCAGATTGGGTCTCGGATTCTAATATCAGATTGAATTCGGATATATCCTGATTTGAATATGATTGGATCTATTTTCATCCCTATTAAAATATAATAGTTAGATATGATTTGTGTGTTAGACCATTTATATTCCCATGAATTTAATATATTTTTAGATTAATCATATATTTATTTAATTACTAATTAACAATTTGACATATAAAAAATAATATATTAATGGCTGTATGCATGGGCTAATTTGTAAAGTTCTATATATTTATATAGTATGTCTATTCGCCACTTGATTGATGCGTTATTATAATATCCACATTAGTCTATATAGGTTGTAATGTATTTCTTTATATAAAATATAAGTAATTATTAATTATTTAAAAAGTTAAAGTATAAAACAATTATCTACTCTTATGTATATTGTTTAGCTTTCCCTTAATAATGTATTAGCAATTTTATAGGTTGTGTAGCCCAACCCTACCACACCCTAAGCATAATAATATTTGTCTAGGCTTGGGATAAGGATAGGCTCTCCCATGTTAATTATAAAACTATGGCAATGGGGTGGGACCATACTCGTCCTTGATCCCGATCACTGTTAGGGATAAAAATGACCCTCTATCCCCAATTCCTAATGGAGACGAGGTCTTTGTTGGGAACTTGAATCCCCAAAAATTTTAAATTAAAATTATTTTTCATAAAATATATTTACTTAAAATAAGGGAAAAATTTTAAAATATAAAAATATTTTAAATATATTTTGATATAAAAATATCATAATATATATATATAATTGGAGTTAGGGGCGAGTGAGGAATTCACTCCCCCATCTTCATCCCTATCCTCGGTTGGGTATCGCTATCAATTTCCATCCCTGCCAAGGAAATCTCCATCCCTAACCCGATGTTAAGTACCCGATAGGATAGGGAACATTGCCATCTCTGTTCATATTCAATTCTTATTAATTGGTTAATTGTCAGAAAACTATAATTTGAAACTTAATGTGTAAAATTAATAAAAGTCTAGCTCAAAGTCTTAAAGGCTTAGATTAATTTAATTATGATTAAAAAGGTAATCTAAAAATTAATTTTATTATAGCTATAATTAACTTTATATATTTGTTTATATTTTATGTATTTTAAATATTTAAGTAACATTTACAAAAAAAAAATATAACATTTAATCATTAACAATAATTTATTATTTTTATTAAAAATTATTAATATAGTTAATTGAAATTACTAAAGATTAATTATTTTAAACAACATAGCATTCCTTCCTTATAATAGTTATCAGTTTCCATTATTTCACTTTTCGTTGACAAATTCCGTGCATCGCAAGGGTCCTTGCTAGTAAAATATAAACTAACAAATTTCTTAATCAATGAAATTGAAGCACTTTTACTTAGAGTTTTAAGGAAACTAAATAGATAAATGGTAGTGAAAAAGGATATCCATGCTACACTATAGGTCTTATTATATATAGGGCATATCTGAATCCAATCCAACCTGAAGATCTGATCAAATCTCACATATGGTGATTCAAATTTGATTCTACCAAGGAACGTTGGATAACCGAATCGGATCCAATCTTTAATAGGTTAAGGTTAAACATTAAAACATAAAACAACAAATTTCTTAATTAGTTTGATTTTAAGTGAAACTAAAAAAAAAATTAATTAACATTTGAAGGAAACCAAATTTCTTAACTTTTAACTATTATAAGATAAATATATTTTAAATTTTTACTAAGTTTTATTAATAATTATTATAATATTCTAAAAATAAGATTGGAATCGGAAATGGAATTGGAATCAGAATTGAAATTAGAATCACCTATTCGTAACACCTGTTTGGTTCAGTTGGGAACCAAAATTGGATTATGATTGCTGTTTGGTTCATTTGGAGTTGTTCTTTTATTATTACTTCAATGCTTTCTTTTTTATTACATTTTATTTTCTTATTAGTTTATTAATGATCTGTTAATTTATACTATTATTACTTTAATTGTATTATATCAATATTGATATTATTACTTAATTATTATTATATTATTAATAATATTATTACTATTATTTTACTAATATTTTGTTAATAGTTTATTAATACTTTTCTCTCTCTCTCTCTCTCTAATAACATATTGCATTATTTCTCTCTTGAATGAGAATGCCAATCCCTAGGGGGCCTAATAAACTATCCAACGTCTCTCTATCTAATAATATAATATTTATCTCTCACTCTCTCTTTAATAATATAATATTTCTCTCTCTCTCCCTATCTCTTTCTTTAATAATATAATATATTGATAATAGTTTAAAGCTTTATTAATGACATGATAAAAGTGTACAACTTTACTAATGACAATGATTACTTTATATATATATATATAYATATATATATATATATATATATATATATAGAGAGAGAGAGAGAGAGAGAGAGAGAGATAAGAAGAAGAAAAAGAACATTTGTGATGATAACTTATATTAGTAGATCCATGAATTTCCCCCCAAAAATGGATGAAATCCAAAAATCATAAAAATAATTATTTTAAATGGTTTTGATGGTGGAAAAGAACTATAAGATGAATCTATGTATGATCTATCAAATCTATCAACAATTTATGTCAAAAAATGTTTTTTTTTATTTTTAGTAATTTTTAAAATTATAAAAAATAGAATAGTTATTTTACTAATAAAAATTAATGAATAGTATGATATACATCTTAGAAATTCTAATGGATCTCATATATATTTTAAAATTAAGAATATATTTTTTGAAGCTTAACTTAAGATTGTATGTATTTCAAAAATTATTAATTAATAATTTAATTTAAATAAATAATATATTAATTGTTTTATATATGTAGTAATTTTGTAACAAGCCATATAATATATTAATATGTGGCTTAAACTCATGGTCGATGCATTATTAGTAAAGTTACTACATGATATTTACATTTCTCTATTTGTTATGTATGTATGTATTAAAAACTCACAAATTTACATGTGAAATGTTAATGGCAGGCTTGGGCACAAATTAGGTTTGGAAAAAAAAAAAAAAACTAAGCACAAGCTTAAGAAATCTTTGGTAAGGCTACAAATAATAAGGTTGCAAATGAATTGGGTCAAATTGGATATATGGTAGATCCAAATAGAAAGTTCACTAATATTAATTCCAATTCAAATTGAATGTGGAGAACATGGCATCCCGCTGGTTTCACATTGGGAACATATCCCCATGAATTTAGCATTCAACTTAGTGTTTTAAAAATGCCAATTCATCTTGCCTTAGTTTGTTCATGTTTTTGCCAATAAAAATTATAATAATTTAATCATGTAAATTTTTATTTAATTATAATTTAAAATTTAATTAATTTATTGGATAAATCTCTTAAACTATCCCTACTATTTACGAAATTGACAAATTGTATCCTTATTGTCTTGTGGTACGTTTAAGTTTTCTAACAATTGACATTATCGTTAAATACTAAGGGAAGAAAACGAAATGTCGAATTTATTCTCCACTATTCCTCAAATTTCATCCCCCATTTCACCGTCCCCTCTGCTCTCTCTCCATTATGAGACCTCCCCCTCGGCCTCTGGTCTCTCTCCTTCCTTCTCTGTTCTCAAACCTTCCCTCCACCTCTAAAATAATTGTGGGGACCCTTTTGGATCCAACTGCAATGAATAATCCCGAGGTGCCGAATCGTCTAGGGACTTTAAAGATCAACCCGTCTGTCTTGCCAACCCGTTCCGCTCTGCGTGGTGGTCGAAGCCCACTCAGCTTCTCTTCAACGGTAGTTTAGTCTCGCATCTACCCCCCACAGATTTGCCCCCAAAATACGTATCACACAATCGGAATGCGACGCGTGTCATGAAACACGTGCCCAAGGCGAGACGCATGCGAAGTCAAATTGACGCCGTTTCCAGCATCCCCGTTAATGAAACATGCGCCTAAAGGGTTTCTTCTCCATTCACTTTGAACCGAAACCTTGAAACCCTTGGCGCCCCCATTCTTCTCCATCCACCCACCGGTCGAGTTCCGCCGGCCGACGACCATACCGGCAGGAGGTAAGTAATCTGTATTGTATGTTTTTCTCATTTTTTTTTTGTTTTTTCTCATTCATTTTCTAATATTCACAGATCTGAACCTACCGGAATGGGAGCCCCCTGACGCCGCTTTACACCCCCCTTCAGTGACCTACCGGTCGACGCCGACAACCATACCAGCAGGAGGTGTCTCTCATTTCTTATCTTTTTTTTTCTCAGATCTGAAATCCGAGACTGTATAACATTCTCAATTTGATATTAACGTGATTTTTGAATTGAATATGACGATTTAAACGAAGCATGCGGTTTGATTATGGAAAAGAGCCAGAGCATATTCACGCCACCCATGAAGACCCATTCCTCTAAAACTGTTTCTTTATTTAGTTGTTAAGTCTTAAAAGGCACAAGTTTCAATATCTACAAAAGGTTCCTCCTTTCTTCCCTCAAGGCTCAAGCCCCTTGCTGCTCCTTTGCGCCTGGCCTGAGAGAACACTAACAGTAACAGGTCTGCATAGTTCTACCAGTTAATTGACCTGTAAGGTAGCTTAGACCACCATGGTCTTATCATTAGCTAATTTGGCTGGCAAGTACAAACACATGCACTTAGATGGTTGAACTCTGATGTCTGAACACTCTTGAGTCTGAATAGGTTCAACTGGCATTTATTGATAAAAAAAAAAAAAAAAAGGTTCAACTGGCATTTCCTTAGAAAGTATTTTTGTAATTGGTATTTCCCTAATGGGATCCGTCAAACTGTAAGATCTTGATCCTCTCTGCTTCTATAGAGAAGATCAAGATTCAGTTGCCACCTGTTTAGCAAAGAGATCATCTCTGAGTTAATGGCGCTTCTCTGCCGGACTACTCTACATGCATGCCAAATGTTTGAAGCAGGTGCAAAGAGAGAGTTCTCAATCCATATGCATGCCAAATGTTTTGGAATATTTTGAGAATTTATTTGTTAGAAGTGAAATTTATTTTAAAGTTTGACACTTGTGTATGTAAATGTAGGAATGAGTTCTCAATCCACATCCGAAATTAGGTTTTATAAGTACCTGAAATATAATGCCTGATACGGAAAGTGTGGGAAAAAATGCATAATTCGAGTGTCAGATACACCTGCAAATCCTCAAAGATTGTTTTACAGTTGCCCGAGCAAATTGATAACTAGTATTTTGATTATTGACTTGTGTCCAAATGTATGTAGGTAAATGATACCGATGAAGAGACTTGGAACTCCAATATGAAGTCTTGCAATTTTTTTGAATGGGCAGTTCCTACTGTGAGAAAACCAAGGCTGTATTTTCAGAATGATCATGTTGAACTAGCATAGCACCAATCTCCATAAAGATATAGAGAATGAGCCTCACCATTAGACCATGTTACTTTTCGTTCTAGATTAGTTGGGTATATGCTGACCGCAAATTCTGTTGATTTATTATGAATTGGGTACATGGTGATGCACACCACCTGAAGAATCATACGATCATTTATTTTGACAAAAGCATTGATCAAAATTATTTGGTGGATGTAAGTTGCATAGGAATTGAATATGGGTAATTGAGAACCATGGATCGGGCACATCAAACTGGGCTTACATGATGTGGCATATCCATGGAGCTATTCTATTGTTAAAGGGTCAAAAGAGYTCCGTCTCTGAAATTGAGATGCTAAGAAAATCAAAAGGTTAAGACTTAAGGTAATTTTCGTCCATCTGATTTGAGAATTATATTTTGGAACTTTGATGATGGTTTATTATCCATGGACTTTATAGTGCAAGCAAAATTGATGCAATGAACATACAGCAATCAACCCTATGCTGCAAGTCCCTCCAGTTTTGTATCTTCACTGATCCGTCGTCACGTATAGAAATCCTTTGAACCATGTTGTCACTTCTCCCACTAGGTAAAAATCATCACTGTCTTCTCTTCCCTTACTTTAACAGCTTCTTGCCCTTTTATCTTCTTCTCTTTGAATAAGAATTTCTTGGTTTGAAATCTAATCTCTTTCTGCTATCTGCCTTCCGGTTCAAACTTCCCTTGTCACTCCGATTTATTAGTAGGCACCTAGAAGCAAATTTAGATATTATCCAAAATAAAGTCTAGTTACATGGCCTAAACCATTGAAAGGCTTAGGCATCCAGAAGCACTTGATGATTTGCTGACAGCATTCAATGCTACTGCTCTTCCTTGCCAATCAATGACAGGTGAACCACTTGAACCTCCTTTAGTCCTTGATGCAGCCTGGTGGATCGAGAGATACAACATTCTTATCTATGTTCATCAAACATTTTTCATTAGAGTGCTTCAACCAAACTGCTAGAATAGCTCTTAATAGAAAACTAGAGAGACTTCACAAACAAAGAGATTGATAGAACATCAAAACAGAAAAAATGTACTGTGTGAAAATAAAATAAAACCAGCAAATGATAACTCCACTTTTCCGGTTGATAGAACATCAAAACATAAAAAAAAAAAAAAGAATCATCGTTCATCCATGATGACTCCACTTTTCCGGCTGTTGGTCTTGACATGGTCCGATCCATGATGATTCCTACATTAACACATGATAGTTATTATTTTTTAATTATGCAAAAAAATACATTTTCAGAAATAAGCAATTAAAATTTCACCCGGCTCATATGAGATCCACTAGAGATGGTTTGGCTAGACACATTTCTGGGTACTTCTACCTATACAAACAATTTCTAATTATTAATATAATTTTACAAAATATTAAAAAAAATCCGTACACAATTTACTTATATGGAAAGACTGTTTACAAAAGAGCTAGAATGGTTATACATGAGCCAATGTGGTGCCTGCGCAGGTAATGGCATGTTGTGAACTTGTTGCCAATTCCAAAGATAAGGAATGGTGCTTGCTGGACCATTTTCATCTTGATCCTGTAATAGATTGAATATTTTCTCCAAAACCTTGATCCTGTACTAAAATAATTTTGTTAAAGTTTAATATAATACAAACCAAAATCTTTTCTATAATCAAACCACATGCTTCGTTTAAATCGTCATATTCAATTCAAAAATCACAGAATGCTAGAAAATGAAACAAAAACCACATGCTTCATTTAAATCATCATATTCAATTCAAAAATCATATTAATATCAAACTGAGAATGTTATACAGTTTCGGATTTCAGATTTGAGAAAAAAAATATAAGAAATGAGAAAATGATGGAGGCCCATCACAACGCCCATCTCGCTCCTAGGATAAGGTTAAGATAAGAAGAACTTCCAATATTATCAAGATAAAGCAAGACTCTTCCAAGATTATCAAGATAAAGCAAGACTCTTCCAAAATTATCCAGAAATCAAGATCAGAATTCCAACAAGACTCTAAGAAGCAYCAAGATTAGCAAGATAATCCAAGATTCATACATCAAGGGAGATCGGGCGGTGGAGATCAAACCAAGAAGAGTTCGATCCTATCATATTAGATATTTGGATCTATCCTACTTGTTATTTCCTAGTTCTTTTACAATTTCTAAATGTATTATAAATACTGCTATTTTCYYAGAATTAWTCATCAATTCATACTTCATATTTTCAGAATTTCTTCAAGTTCTCTTCTTTGAGTTTTTGCCACCTTTTCTCTCTCCTAGAGAAATCGGTGTTAGTCGCTAGGAATTAGCGAACGCCCGGTGCTTGCATAGCCAGTTCCGGTGTCCATTGCTTCCACACTGCGTCAGGTGGTATTAGAGCAGCGAGTTCGCCCAGTCAGATGGCCAACCAAGACGGTAGCAGTCGCAACCCACCCCGTGACAGTGATCAGGGGTTACAAGCTGTTTGGAGAGCGATTGAAGAACAGCGCACAACCACACGTAACATCGAACAGCAGTTGGCACAGGTGACTGAACAACTGCGAACCTTGTTACGGGAGGTTGTTCCACGAAACCAGGAAAATCCACAGCAAATCGAAGGAGACGACCACGACAAACCACCCGTCGTTACTGCGTCCCGGCGTCCAGTTCTTGACAACGACAGTGATGATGATTTCAAATTTGGTGGTGCTTCAGTTCTTCCTGGCAACGACAGAAACGACAAAAATTAGCACAATCAAGGTAATTTCAAYCCCCGTAGGAATAATGATGAATTTAAACTCAAGGTAGATATTCTTACTTTTAGTGGAGATATTGGCATAGTGGGACTTCTAGATTGGATCACAGAAGTCGATAGATTCTTTGAGTACATGGAGATACCAGAGGAACGAATGGTAAAACTGGTAGCTTTCCGATTAAAGGGAAGCGCATCTGTTTGGTGGGAACGCCTGAGAGAGACCCGAATTAGAGAAGGAAGGGGTCCTGTTCGAACCTGGAGGCGCATGAAACAGCTCATAAGAGGTAGATTTTTACTCCCAGATTATGAACAATACATGTTTGAATCTTACCAACGGTGTGCGCAGGGTTCTCGTAGTGTTAATGAATATACATGTGAATTTTTGAGATTAGCCGAAAGAAATCAATTATCTGAAAGTGATAACCAGCAGGCAGCCCGTTATCTAAGCGGTTTGAGACCGTCCATCAGAGATAAAATTGGTGTACAGATGGTTCTTAGTGTGCAGGAAGCAAGGAACCTGGCCCTGAAAGCAGAATTAATGTTCCAAGACAAGGCACGCAGTGATAATTTCCGCCGGTACAGCGGGAGCGACAACAGACCGGCAACTGTCGATAGGATCAAATCAGTCCCGGCAGTACAACCCTCTCACCCGACAAGCACAAGTAACGCCGATAAGGCTACTACAGGAGGACATACTCGAGGTAATCCTTCCAACCCTCCTAAACCCAGTAACCCTTATGCAAGGCTTGCTCCTATTAAATGCTTTAAATGTAATGAGGTTGGACATAGATCCAGTGACTGTCCCAAGAGGAGGGCAATTAATATGGTAGAAAGGGAGGAGGAAGAAGATATTGAGGAGGAGGTATATTGTGGCCCTGATGAGGAGGATGAAGAGGGTCCATACGAACATGAAGAGTATACTTGTGTTGTGAGAAAATTAATGCTGTCCCAAAAAAATAAAGATACTTCTCAAAGGCACAGATTGTTCCATACTAGATGTGCTGTCAAGGGCAAATTATTTGATTTAATTATTGATAGTTGCAGTCAAGAAAATATTATTTGCAGGGATGTCATACAAAGGTTACAGTTACTTCCTGAAAAACATTCAAACCCATATACAATTAGGTGGATCAAGGAAGGAGGCGGCGTACGAGTGGAGGAGCGCTGCAAGGTACCTTTTTCTATTGGTAAGTACCATGATGAAGTATATTGTGATATTGT